TTAGAGACGGCGATGCAGGTACATTTTATCTAAAGCATTTTAGTTTAAAAACTAATATTTTAGTGATTTCAGTTCTGAAAAAACCTGAACATTCGTATGCAGCTTGGTGCAAGATTCGAAACAACTCACCAGCCAAATGAAAATAATCACTTGAACAGCTCGAATATTTGTAGCGAACGAAATGTGCCTTTGTGTGTTCTCCACTTCTATTTGCTCTGACATTGACTTCGCTCCAATTACAAGTGACGGAAGGAAAAAAATCTCAGGATTGCAAAAGATGGCAAAATCACTCTGTCTGTTTTTTTTTCCCGGCACAGTCAAGTAAGGACAGCGCTCCTCGGAGGAAAGCTCCAGGCGTCCCCCTGAATAAGGACCAACCAGTCAGGAAGTTTGGTAAGAAACAGAGGAAACATGAGAAAGCAATGAACCCAACGTCCCTTTAAAATAAAACATCTTATTTAAGAGAACTCAACGCAAGAAAAGCTAATTGTTATTATTTATTTGTGTGTTTCAGCCCCAGTTGTGACGAATCCCCTGCCCCCTGCTGGAGAGGTGGTGAAGTCTTCAGCTGGGACCAAAGATCACGTCGTCCCCAGCCAAGACATCCAAGGTAGCGGAGTGATGTTTTTAATTTATAACACATTAGTAATAGTAATTTGCAAAGTGTCATCTTCTTGTTGCTCACGTTATTCACGATACTTTAAAGATATCATCAAGAGATACAACTCACCACCTCCACCGCCAGAACAGCTGCCTCCAGGCAAGAGGTGAGATCGCACACAGACACACACAGACACACGTGGCTTACACAATCAACGGATCACAGATTATACGACACGTTGCATTTACACCATGCAAGATTGTATTTTGCAGAGGTGACACTGAATGCATGTGTTTAGGAGACCAGAGGGGAAGTTTAAGAAGAAGCAGACCGCCCGTGATGAAGCTTTGCAGATCCTAAAACCCCAGATGGACAACCCTCCTGCTCCACTGGTAAAAAAACACACAAACACCTGAACTCTGACAGTAACGACAGTGATGCTTGTGTTGTATGGAAGTGCTTTTGTGTGTGTCCAGCCCAAACGTCCAGCTGCCCCCTCACCCTCTACACCTGCAGTCAAGGAGGTGGGATTAAAACCCAGCAAGAGTATGAAGACCAGAGCACCTGATCGTCCTCTCCCCAAACCTCCACCAGGTAACCACACACCGCCACGCTACACAACACATTCTTAAGACAACCTGGGCTCCGTTGCCTCCGTGTCAGAACGCTGCAGCGTTAACGTTTCCTGCGGAGCTTTCACAAGAACAGACGAGAGCCCCAGAAATCTTGTTGGATTCATTCCTTCCCTCATGAGAAGCTGCAAAGCCTTTTTTTAAAATTGTTCCAAACCTTTTTCTGTGCTGTTTCTTTTTCTTCGCTCTGCAGCATTTTTTTTTATTTTAGAGTGTTTATTAGTTCAATAAACCACTAAGGCTGCCTTTTTACTGAATGGTTATTACCATTTAAAACAAAACTAACACCAAACCAAACAGAATGTTCTCATATATCTAAAACATAAAAGCACCCATTGGATTACAGAATGAAAAATGAATCTTTCGTCAAGAGTTTTAAGATTTTGTCAAGTCATTATGCTGCAGATAAAAAACACAAACCTTTCACAGACTTATTAGTATCTGCATTAACGTTTAGTAATATGTGGTGATTTATTTACAGAATAAAAAAGCTGTGTATTGAATTTTTATATTATTTACAAGTTCGGTATATTCGGTTGTATTTTAGTTTTTAAGTGTTTGACAAGAACATCTTTAGAATCATTGCCAAAATAAAAAACCCTCTGATGTATTTACTGCAGTTTCTCGAGAGCTCCCGATAGAGACAGAAAGCATCCAGACGCAACTTCATCAGAGCACCAACGAAGAGCACTACACGTACACCAACGTTCCCTGGAGACTGTACCTCAGGAAGGAGGTGTGTACGAACAGACACACAACCAACACTATGATCCACCTTTAAAAGTGTTTGTGTTTTTATTGTGTTTTATTTTTTTAACAGGTTTTCTATCCCAAAGACAGCTTCAACAATCCAGTGGTGCTCGATCTGATTTTCAAACAGGTAACTTCGGAGGTGGTTGAATTAAAGCCGGATTGGATCTGACATCAACAGATTCGTTTGACATCAACGTTATATTTAAAGTAGATTTCATGTGTTTTACAACCTGGACTCTATGTTTATGTTAACTTCAAAAACTTTTGGAATCGGTTCAGCAGCAGTGGCTACAATACAATCTAATGGGGCAACTGTGACAGTCCATGGGATATCGGCTAAAAGATTTATTTGTTACCTCCCTCTCTCCCTCCCTCTCTTTCTCCCTCTCTCCCTTAATTTTCTCTTCAGTTTTTAGTAGCTATTTGTCCGTAGACTAGAATTAGGGACGGCCACTGAAGTCAAATGCTTCATCGACATCGTCCACATCAGAAAAAGATTCAGCTCTCTCTCCAACTCTCTCTCTCTCTCACGTCTCCACCTCCATCTTTCTGCAACAACCCAAGTCTCACGTGATTTGAGTGTGAGACTCCTCGTTAAAGGAGACACGTGTTGCCAGACTCTTCACAAAGCCCTTTAAGTACGCGTTTAACGGACTGTCGAAGTTGCCCCATAAGGTAACACTGCCACTGTGTCGTGCCTGCCGGTGGAAAAGTTCCAAAAGTTTTTCTAAGTACCATTTATTTACGCCCCCACATCTATAAAGATGGTTGAAAAATACCAGAAGTCCCCTTAAAAAGATTTCTTAAATCACTGACCTCTTTTCTATCAATTGTGCTCCATATTTTTCTGACAACAGAAATATCACAGAAAGTTCAAACTAAATTATTTCTAACATTCCTTCTCCTCTCCTCTGGCTCCCACAGATTGTGAATGACACTCTGTCGGAGGCGTGCGTTCGAATCACCCGTGATGAAAGGCAGAAAATGAAAGCTCTTTTCGGTAGTCTGTCTGTTCTGCCTGGAGACATGTTTTATTTGCACCGTACACTCAAATCCAAACAGATCTCCTCACCACTCACGAGTTAATGTGTGTGTGTTTGTGTGTCTGACAGCGAAACACGGGGTTGAACAGAATATGGATCCAGTGGAGGATCACGTGAAGAAAACTGTTGTGACGGCAGCGAGGGAAACCTGGGACATTTACTTCTCCCGCCTCTTCCCTGCCTCGGTGAGTGTGGTAAATCCTCAGAGTGAAATTATTACTGCATGTGTTGCTTTCATTTTATTAAGCCTCTCTATGTTAACTGTATGTGTGTGTGTGTGTGTGTTTGTGCGTGCAGGGTAGTGTAGGAACAGGTGTGCAGGTGTTATCAGTGTCACACAGTGGGATTAAGCTGTTGAAGACCGTAAAAAGCAGCGCTGCAGCCCCAGACTACTTCAGAGTCCTTCGACCGTACACGTACGTGCTGCTTTTTTCTGTTTTTCTCTGCAAATATGTCAGAACATTTTATTTATTTGATTTCAATTTCCAGGTAGATTCGTTTTTATCGGTTTGTGATAAAAATCAGATAGTAACTTGTCGTCGTAACCAAAGTTGTGAGGATCACATTTTTTTCACCCTTTTGAAGAAAACATAGAAATTTTACCAGAACGTCACCAGTCAATAAATAAAACCACCATTTCTACATGATCACATTATTTACTTTCACAATAAAGTGACACATTAGACTGACATCATACAAAACTCGATGTCGGCCAAAAAAGGAAAGAAATAGTTTGTCATAGATTTTTATTTAAACTGCTGAAGTGACGTTCAACAGCTGGTTAGTGTCTCACAATACCAATAATTTAAAAAATCATTAAACTAGAACGTCTGCCAAAGCTCCGACAGTCCCCTTTTAAAAACCACATTTAAATCCACTTGATCTAGATCTTATTTGGATCAGCACCACATTGGACACATCAAGATCTTCATCAAGAGAGTGTTGAGAAACGTCAGATATTAAGTCACGCTGTGCTTCTTTTTTTTTTTTTTTCCAGCTTTGCAGACATCTTGTTTGTAACGATCCCGTCAGAGAACATGCTGGAGTTCAACCTGACCAATGAGAAGCTGATCCTGTTCTCAGCCAAAGCCCCGCAAGTCAAACACCTGATCGACACGTTCATCAGTGAGATCAAACGGGTAAATACCACTCACACACACACACACACACACTCACACTTAGCTTAAAGCGTACAGACGGAATTCTATTAATTTGCTGACACCCACACTTAGACACACTCATCACTTTTCATTCAACCTGACACGGCTGTAATTTAGTCCAATTTGGGGAAAAATTGCTAAATCCCCTCAAAGCTCTTTTTCTGGAAGATGTCAGGAAGCATTTTTTTTGTGATTCGGGGAAATCAGCAGATTTGTTTTGAAAGTGCAAAAATGCAAAACCGACAAACATTTTAGTCCAAATATGATCAAATAAAACCTCCATGTTAGAGCGTGGTTGTATTTGTCTGTGTGTTTGTTCCCCGCAGGACTCGGACTATGTGATCGCTGAACGTAACTTTGTGACAGACGACCGCTCGATGCTCAGTTTCCACAAAGGAGACGTCATCAGGCTGCAGGTCATGGACGGGCTGGAGAAAGGTAACACTGCGCACACACGCGTGTAGAGGAAATGCTCTGATGGTATGTGTGATGTGAATCTCTGATCCAAGTGTGTGTGTGTGTGTGT